GTTCTATTTCCTGTTCTTTTTTTTCTCCTGCTCATTCCATTCCCTTCCCTCGCACTCCCTCCAGTTCATGACACTGGAAGCTCGCCAAGCAAAATGTTGACGCCAATTCCCCTGCGTCACTCACAAAGCTGGTTCTGCGGGGTCTGAACCCTGGCCGCAAACAGCACTGAGCAACGACTGGCATCCACGAGCGAACAGGTAGCACACCTTAGAGAATTTGCCAGTGCACTTTGACCAAATTTCTCACTTGAGAAATAGCCAGAATTCGGTTTTACTGGAGAGGAAAGCTTTTTCAGATTATACTTTTTGAAAGAACCTCTGCACTGGCTGCCCCTGAGTCTCCAAGGAGACGGGGGCAGACAACAGGATTTATCCTCAAAGGGGCTTGACGTGTCTAATGTGCCTGCTGGTCAGTCACTAAAGGGTCAAGCTATTCTCAGAAACTCCAGTGGGAAAAAAATAATTCAACAAGACGCTCAATAAGGGAAAAGTCCTTCTCCTTTCATTCAACAAAATTCACATCAGAAAATTCTCAAGACATTCAAAAATAAACAGACCACTCAATTTTTACAGGCACATTCACAGGATCTATATATGGACCGAAATAAACTCGTTTCTCTCCATCTGGCTGTCTTTGAGACTAAAGTCTTTATATTCATTTGTGGGTAACTGGTCACCACTGTACCCCAAACGCCAGCAAGCCCTGGCCCAGACTGCCTGCAGCCTGCATCCTGTCATTGTGTTGAGAACGCAGAGCTAAGCAGACCAGAGAGTGGGCTAGTGACATCCCAATCAAGTCTCTTACCGCTTTCAGTCCACAAAGAAAAACAGAACTCACAATTAGAGGAAAACTATAAAGAAAAACAAACTTTAGTCCAGACGTATGAGTCATAGCAGATAAACAACAGCCAGTTGCTTCTGTCATGGGTTGGTAAGCACTGAAAAAAAGTACTTTGACTATGTACAACTAATTGCATCTGCTGAACGTCATTACCAGACTAAACCACATTTGTCCTTGAATGGCCCAAAACACTCAGCTTCTCTCTTTACAAACACTGTGAATGTGAACACCAGGTTTAGCTTGCTGACACTGACTAATTAGGGTCATGATAAAGCTGACTTCTTAGGTTTTTTCTGACAACCTGTACTCCTAGTTACATCTTAAAGATGTTAAATTATGCTATTTCTCTTGATAATTGTAGAGCAATGAAGCTGTCTTTTCATGTTCGTGTTTCTAAAATGAATTGTTCATAGAATTACTTTTTTGTGGAGGCGTGGAAAATATATGAAAAAAAAAAAGGATTACACAAAAAAAAGTAACACATCTGGATAAATAATCACTAGTTTTAAAAAGGTTTGAAGCCAAAGGTTTTACGTGTTATCTAATCTCTTCCGGATTAGGTGATTTAATAGTTATTATACTGACCAATAGGCGCTGGAACATTTTACAATGTTGCAGACATGTCAGTATGAGCATATATGTATAGTAACCAATAAAAAAAAGACACATCAGTTCAGGCATGCTACAGATTTATTTGATATCATTTTGACACACTGTCTGTAACACCGACAGTGAACTAATAGACCTCAGGATACTTAAACATGTTCAGTTCAGTTCAGTTCAGTTCAATTCAAAGGTGCTTTATTAGCATGACAGTTTTTTAAACAATATTGAAAAGCTTAAAAAGATCATAGAAAGTGAAAGACATTTGACAACTTTAACCAGTGGAGGGTGAAATAACCTCTGGCAATGTAAAGTGGGCGGGTCCCAATTTAAACTTGAGGTGAGAGTACAAATGACAGGGTGATAAATACATTAGAGAGGGTTACCTAGGCAACTGGAGCCTGGAATGCCCACTAGAGACTAAGTGTCAACAGTTAACCACTCAGGAATCGATTTGCTCATCCATCCCTTATTTATTGATTTATTTTTATTTGCTGTCATTTATTATCTTATTATTATCCTCAAAGTGTATACTGGTCAGTGCATTTATTTGCTATATTTTAATTTATTTTTTATTTGGCTTGATGTTGCCATACACACAAAGATTTGTTTCCCAGAGTCTCTTGGTTACAGTGCTGAATACAGTTTATTGATTTTACACTGGTGTCAGACAGGAAGCCAGTATTCACATATACCCTAAAAAAAGGTACTGAAAAACTGAAATAAAATACTGTTTGAACTGTAACAGTAATACACCCATTTCTCTCTATTAATGTTTATTTTTGGACAGATTTTACAATCATTTTATTTGTTTATTATGGCATGTTGCATAGTTTAAGTTAAACAAGCCATTAAATGTACTTGAGACAAACAAGCTCTCCTTCTCTTCTTCACATTGTAGAACCTACTGGCCAGTAAAGAGGTGAGAATCGGCTTTATTTAGTATCCTTTGATTTAAGTGCTATCTATACATCCATACCACATGATTGATGTATTGAGGCCTTGGATTACCTCTTTTCAAAACACAGTTCTATCTGAGGTCCTTCACACAGGCTTATGGAATTGGCTAAGCTAAACTGGTTATTCAGAAACATAGCGTGCTGACGGGTCACCATCATTTTCCAGTTTGTTTACGGGTTGTTGTTGTTTTTTATGGCTTCAGTGAACAAAAATATTTTAATGGAAGAGGTATTTAGGTTGGGTTTTTTTTAAACAATCTAAGCTTTAGCTAGAGTCTTTGTTTTACATACCTTGTTTTGAATTTGAGTTATTTACCAAGGCTTATGACTACAAACATATCAGTTATCGAGATTTACACAGATCTGCTCAGAAAACCTACAGGCGTACTTTACTCTGGCGGACTCTGATCATCCGTTAGATTTTGACAGGAAGATTAGTGCGAAGAAAAACCGTTTTCACTAAAGAGGAAACAAGATGTGTTTATTAAATGATGATGTCACTGTAAGACAGATTGAGGTCAGATTTCCTGCAAAAACAAACCAGCTACAAAATCAAATCACCCTGTAGTATTTACAACATAAAAACTGCAATGGGAATAATGGTAAAGCGCCCTTCAACTCAATTATGTATTTAAAGAAGAAGCTGTTATGGTGCACTCATATTTACCTCCTCTTCAATTAGCACCAGCTCAAGCTACTTCGCTACGTATCCCCTGAGGGCAACCTTGTCATTGTTGCAGTCGGCGTAATTACGCTTGCAGCTGTAACAGCTTCAAAGATCCCCACAGAGTTGAAGAAATTATCTCAAGCCATACTAACATTTACCTTATTGACTTATTTGTTTCCTATCCTGTGGATGGGAGTGTTGTGACTCACACAGAAAAACAAGTGTGCTGTGTCTCTCAGAGAGGCTGATGATTAGTTACAAAAATGAAATATTGCTGCGGTCATCACCCATCCAAGAAGTTTGAATAAATGAGATCTCAAGCAATTTTATAATCTGTCCTGAGACGGGCGGATGTAAATCTCACACAGCCTTCCTCAGATGTTTTCACCCCCACCGCTTTCTTGATGATGTGTCTGTTTAGCTTAAATTACAAGCAAGCTTAAATGAAGACTGATAAACATACAGAAACTGTTGTAGTGCACTACAATCTGTGTGTGTGTGTGTGTGTGTGTGTGTGTGTGTGTGTGTGTGTGAATCTGTCTGTGCGGGCTACACTGCTCCTTTCACTGGAAAATGGGTCAGCCTTTTTAAATTGTATTTTTTATATACACTTCACACCTGCCGTGCAGCTCTGCAGCTTATGAGATTGCAAATTCTGCTTGACCTTTACTGCACATCCTTCATTGAAAAGTTATTACTAAGCTTCAGTCATGCATGTGCTTTTAGACACCTGTCAGTTTCAGCCAAGGTCGTAGTTGACAGTTTTCCAGCTCAGTGGTCGCTGGTGTATTTTATCATGCCATCAGGCTCTGTTGCCTCCTGGGGCAGCGAGGAGATGTACTTCACTCCTGAATGAGTCACTCTGTGGTGTCTTAATGCAGTGATTCCAATCAGCAATCAATACACAAAAGATAGTTTTTAGCTTCTGGGTTTGAAAAAGTAAAGCCTGTGGGTGTCTTAAGCTTGCTATGTTTTATATGGCCAGTGGTGGGCAAATCCTCTGGTTGCAAAAAGTAGTTATATAGTATAGATGTCAATAAGACCTCAGTAAACACTCTGATAAGTTTATAGGCTCAAGTACTAATTTTAAGTCTTAAAGAATATAAAGTCAGTGTTCACTCAGTAATTAACGGTCCCCTATGAAGAATAGGTCATCCATACCATGTGACTGACAAGTCACTACAACAAGAGTGTGAAGTGTCCCTTGGTTTCAGAGTTAAGATCCTCCTGGCGTTTTAAAACACCAAGATAGGAACGGTTACAATGGGCTTCTCAGTCTGTTTTTCAAACCAGGGGCTGCTTCTACATTTGGCACGGGTCAAAGTAGCCTATACTGTGAGCAAGCACTTGGCAAAAGTGGGAAGGAAAAACTCTCTTTTAACAGGAAGAAACCTCTGGCAGATCCAGGCTAAGGGAGGGGCAGTCATCAGCCACTAAAGACTGGGGGGAGAGGGGAAAGAGAAGAGAGCGACACGCCAAAAGGCAAACTATGGAAGAGAGACACAAAGTTTAATAATTACTAATAATTAAATACAGCACTGGCGTTTAAATAGTTAGTGGAAAGAAATGAGTGAAGAAGAAACACTAAGAGATGGTTCGGGTTTGCCTGAAAAAGTCAAAGTAAACTTTTTTGTCATCTCTGAGATATCCAGTGCAGCATACAGAGAGGAAGATGACAAGCTCCGGTTACATCAGTGCAAAAAAAGCTAATAAATAAATATAAAAGGAGTAAGAAAATAAATATACGCTTAAGTCTTAGGCAATCAAGAGAACACTAACTATAAGCTTTATTAAAAAAGAACGTTTTATTATTATTATTATTAATATTAATATTAATATCAAAACTGCTTTTTTTAGAAAAATAAACTTAAAGTAAATTTTTGAAAAATAAAAATATAATCTGTAAAATGTGTAATGAACACTGGACACTTTATTAGATACACCTTTATTAGCTACCATCTATATTATGTTGGACCCACTTTTGCCTTCAGAACTGCTTTAATTCTTGTGGCACAGATTCAAAAAGGTCTGCCTAAATGCACTGAGTTGCTGCCATGTGATTGGCTGATTAGATATTTGCATTAAGAAGCAGCTGTAAAGGTGTACCTAATAAAGTGGTTGGTAAATGTATATATGCAAATTCTAAAGATACCTTTCAGCTTGTTTTGTAAAATTGTTACCCTACACTTAAAGCTTTCAGACTGAATGCCATTTTAAACACAAATACTTTTTTTGAGTGTGTCGGCGATGTCAGGAATGTGTTCTTATCCAAGTCTGACTTGCCACAGCTCCAAGTGGCAGATAAGAGCTCACCAAACAACAAGGAGCAGCTAGCAGGCCAATCTGTGCAGGGATAAGACAACCCCTGAGGACTGTAGTCCTCAACTTTAGTGACAAGTTAATCTAGAGTGGACTGCTCTTCAACTGGACTTATTCGTAGAGTGTATGTGTATGCGTGTGCGTGTGCGTGTGTGTAAATGTGTCTGCATCAGGTGTTTGTGCAGCAATCTGCATTTCACTGCAAGCTTTGACAGTAAAATCATAGCTCTCTCAACACTTTACTGTTCCCACTTATAAATATTGCACTGAACCTGTTTTTACTATCCCCAAACGCCTTCAATCTCAACTAATGAAGTGAGCAGACAGGCCGGTAGTATTATCTGAGAGGTGATATTACAGGATTTATACTGATCAGCAATTTCACATTAGGTATTTGACTGAAAAGAGTAGCAGGGGAGACAACTATCTCATCTAAATATCTTATTGTTTATTCTGACAGATGGAAAACTCGATGCTTACTAACTCTGATATCTACCTTTCCCTTTGCCTAGAGCAATGCGAGTAATACATTAAGTGAATTGGTCTTTTTCTGCATGTGTGCATGCAGAAAAGTTTCTATTCCTGTGTGCCTGTGCGAGCGTTAAGTCACGCACGTATAATGTTGTATCCTTCGTGCGTATGTGTGCCTACGCTGTGTGAAGTTGTGTCTATGTTTATGTCTGCTTGTGCTTAATTAGGGGAAGCAGTGAGCATTTCACTTCTGGAGGGGATTTTATGGCTATGTAAATATCACACATCATGATTCAGCGAGGTGAGGCAAGTGTAGCCCAGCGGCTGCCAAATCTCACTTAGATTGCTGTCTAGATGGCAACAGTGGAGGGTGACACAGCCAACGCAGAAGTGATGACTGATTTGTTTCTCTGGGTCAGAACACACGGGGGTGGATTTGTCTTAAGGTGCTTAAAATGAAAGCGTATGATGCTGTCGTTTAATCCCGACTGCCGATTTCATTTAAAGCAACACCAAAGATAGTGTCACTATTGCCAGTTTAATGGCATGTCAAATAACTGTTCGCTAGCACCAAGGGAACTGAAACTCAGCTCATGCATTACTGTAAAAAGTAATGACAACCTTGTGCTTAAATTACTGCAAAGATACATTACTGCTGGTACAGAAAGCTTGGTGGATGCTAGAACAGTTGGTTTAGTTTACATTGTGCAGCTCAGCTCCAGTCCTACAATAGGAACAAGGTGATTCATTTCACTGGAAGCTGAGAGAGAGTTACCCTAGTGGCTACACATGATGGATTTATCAGTGGGCATTTGCTGAATATGTGAAATTTTACGTGATGTTACTTGTCTTTGTGTTTTATAGAGTGACAGCTATGACAGAGGAAGGTTTCCACTGGTAATGGGTTTGATAAATCACAAAAATTGGAATTTGTTGCATTACAGAAAAGGTAAAAGATTATTTCGTCATTTATTTAGCAACTATAAAAGTGGCTGTTGTTTGCGGCAGTCGACAGTCTGTAGGCATACCCCTATAAATCAAACTTTAGGACCTTTCAAGTGTGTTGTCGACGTTCAAATGCTCTGATCTGCAGGATCTAAGCGCTTGCTTTGGCATATCTCACCTCAGAAAGCAATGGAACACAACATTAAAATTCTGCACTGATTATTACAGTATGTATGCCAAACTAGAAGGCGCCATTTGCCAAATTAAAAAAAAAAACATCCCAGAGTATAACTTAAATGTATAAAAAATTTAAGGAACTGCTATATAGTGTTTTATTTCAGAGTGAGCACAGGAAAGACAAAATGATGAGACTTTTCTTATCCCTTCATGAGAATTGGCAATATTTAAACAAACACTGCCTGCATCGCTGTTCCTGTGTCCCCTCTGTTTTCAGTTGTTTTGAATTAAAAGCGATGCATGTGCTTTGGACTCTGACTCAAATTCAAGACTTCATCTTTTTAATGCAATGGAACAAAATGGTGTCAAAAGGTTTTTATACTTGGAAACTCAGTCAGAACTCTTTTATTTTGGTTTCATCTGTTCAGGCAAAAAACACAGTGAAGCTGCTTTCGAGTACTTTGAAACTACAAACCTTGACAAAAACATGTCATTTCCAAGCCTCGCAAACCAAAACCTGCAGCTGTCAGGATCTTCAAATCAAATAGGTGAGAGACACTGCACACCAACATGTTTTCACATATTACAGACTGCAAAATGTTCCTGTCCTACGCTGCATGCTGAAATATGTACATCTATTCTTTAGTGATTGTTGTCTGCTGAAGTTTTCTTTTTCATAGGGTTAGTGTAAGTATGCTTCTGTTTTTATATAGTAGACAGTAGCCTGTAAAGAAGAAGTCATTTTGCACTGTTTCTTATCTTCGACTTCCCATATTTACGTTTTTACAAAACTAAGTATTACCAATTAATGCTTCTCTATTAAATCCCAGTAAAGTTGTGAGAACAGGTTGAAAACAGAAAGAAAATGTTTAACATAAAGAGAAATCTGCCTCAGGCTACATTTAGATTTATGATCAAATGGGTGAATAAAAGCTTGCGATCTAAAAAACAAATTATACAGTTCTGTGACAAATGGGAGCTGTGAAACAATGTATGTTTTTAAAATTGATAAAGTACAACTGATATACTTTGGTTTATACTTTGATATACTGATTTCATACCTGCATGTCATCAAGTGCTGACTGAATATACTATAGCTACACTGTTAAAAAAAACATCTTAAAAAAACGGTAATATTCCGGCAGCTGGGGCACCAAAATACTACCGTAAAATAACAGAAAATAACTTCCTAAAAATACGGTTATTTCCAGTAATAACATTACAGTTTGTTGCACTAATTTTACATGGGATCTTGCCTTTTCAAGTGATTTTAAACATTAAATTAGGAACATGTTAATGTGATTAAACAATGAAATTATCTATAAATAGGGGAAAAAAACAAATCCTAAAAAAACAGTAATATTCTGGTAGCTGGGGCACCAAAATACTACCGTAAAATAACAGAAAATAACTTTCTCATGAAAATACGGTTATTTTCAGTAATGAAAATAGAGTTTGTTGCGCTAATTTTACATGGGATTCTGCCTTTTCCAAGTGCTTTTAGACATTAAATTAGGAACATTTTAACGTGATCAAACAATGAAATTACCTATAAACAAGGTCAATGAATGTAACAATATGAATCATAATACGTAAATGTACAGAAATATACAGTTAACAGTTGGTTTAAATAATAATGGATTGCATGCCCTGGGACAGACTGACAGAGGTGAGGCTGCCATATCGCACCATCGGCCCCTCTGGCCATCACCAGTTGGCAGTAGGTGAAGAGTCTTGACCATGGACACAATAACAAGAGTGTTCGAGCCGGGGCTCGAACCAGCAACCTTCTGATCACGAGGCAAACTGCCAACTCTTGAGTCACGATCGCCGTAAATGATAATAATACTTATGTGATGTAACACAAGCTTATAGGAATCATGTTATATACTTTTCCATAGCATTACATTTGAATTCAACAGTTCAATCTTTCAAATAACGGACAGATATTTGTGAAATCATGATACATTTATGAATGTATTTTAACAATCTAAATATGCATATGTACAGACAGATACATTTAATAATCATGAAAATTGTGTTTTTTTACATTACAGTGATTTAACGTTAATTTACATTTGAAATGTGAAATCACAGTCTATTTATGTAACTTTAATGATATTCTAGAAGAAAAAATTCAAATTCAAATTCAAATTCAAATTCAAATTTTATTTGTCACGTACACAGTCATACACAGTACGATATGTAGTGAAATGCTTGGACAACTGCTCGTGACCTAAAGAAAACAAAAAAGGAAAAGGCTATGAATAAGATAGGAAATAAATATGAAAAATTAAAAAGGGTAAATTTAACTAGGAAGGAATAAAATATAAATTAAGGTTAAAAATGAAATAACTGTACAACACAAATTAGAATGAAGGGTAAATTTAACTGGGAAAGAATAAGATAAAATATATAAATTAAAGTTGAAAATAAAATAACTGTACAACAAAATACACAATATAGAACTATATAAGAATGTATGAAGAAATCTAAATATAAATAAATATATACACAATAACAGCAGCTGTACAAGTATTAACCGGAAATGAAGAATATAGTGACCAGTGTTGTGCAAAAACAATGTCCAGAAAGTCCAGTGTGTGTGTAAGAACCATGTGTGGGTCAGTACTGTGTGGTGGTGTGATTGAGAGACCGTATCGCCTGCGGGAAGAACAGAACAAAACAAAACTGTAAAATGCACAGTAGAATACTTTTATATTAGGATTAGCGCTACAGTGCTGCCATCAGTGTTGGTCAAGTTACTTGAAAAAAGTAATCAGTAACTAATTACTGATTACTTCCCCAAAAAAGTAATCCCGTTACTTTACTGATTACTTATTTTCAAAAGTAATTAATTACTTAGTTACTTAGTTACTTTTTAAAAACACGATTTACAACCTGAAGAGGTGATAAAGCGATAGATCTTTCAGCCCAATTCTACTTTTTCTACATAATCCATCATACAAAATGTAATCAAATGGAAAAGTCTCTTTTTTTAACTTGTTTTATCAGTTTTAATCTTTTAACTTTATGCATCAAGCAAAAATTTAATTATATGCAACATTCTCTGACTTGAATAAATTAGTTTAACATTTAAACCTATTTTCTGCACATTCCAGCACATAAAATAAAATATTTTTTGTGTTTACACTCACTCTTTCAAATAGATGCAAGTAAAACACAGCAGAAAATAAATAAAGTCAAAGACTCAGCGGTCCTGTTGCTCTATTTTCACCTGTAAAGCAGGATGGGGTAGGCGGAGGTTTACCCTGGTGCAGGTGTGCCGCGCGGTCAGTGGAAGAATCCGCGAGTTTCTCTGTGAGTTTCCCATTACGTCGTAGCGCACTCGGTGCTTGCTTGGAAGTTTAGGGTTTTTTTCGCTGTAAAAAGAAGTTTTCTTCCCACGCACAACGGACACTAATGTTTTTGTCACTTTTTATGGAATCAAACTCAAAGTAAGGTCAGTACTTCCACGCTTTAAACGCTGCACGCTCATACTCTCTCCCGCACTCGATATATTATCCATTGTTGATCTGCGCACAGCTGTTGTCACGAACGTCGCACTCGCTTACGTCATTGTCATGAGACATTCTCGCAGAAAAATCACGGTTTTAGTAACGCAGTAACGCAGCGTTCCTACAGGGAAAGTAACGGTAATCTAATTACCATTTTTGCAATAGTAATCCCTTACTTTACTCGTTACTTGAAAAAAGTAATCGGATTACAGTAACGCGTTACTGCCCATCTCTGGCTGCCATACCCGCGACCTTGTGGTTGTTAGTTCACATTTATTGGCCGATGCTTAGTTATAATGTTGCCCAACATCCAGTGGCATGTCACAATGTTTTCATGGCCACACCTTCACCCCAGGTGCAGAGGCTTATTTCTGTTCAGGAATGTTGTGAATACTTTGAGATTTATATTAGTTGCAATTCCTACCTCTACATTTATTTTTTAAAATATATAATTAGCACAGCGTGGCCGTGCAATGTTTTATATGTTTTTTTTAGTTTTTATTCCTATTATTTATATTTTCACTTGTTACCTCTGAATTATTGAATCAGACCTAGATGACATGAAATTTTCAGCAAAATTATAATTCAAATACTCCTTTAATTATTGATTATTCTCATTAATTTTCGATCATTTTATATATTTTTCCATAGTATTATTTGAATTTAACAGATCATTCTCTCACATAACAGACAAATATTTGTGAAATTATGATACATTTCTGAATGTATTTTTAAAATCTAAATATGCATATATACAAAAAAATATATTTAAAAAACAAGTAAATTGTGTTTTACAGTGATGTTATGTTATTTTACCTTTGACATATAAAATCACAGTCTACTTATGTAAATTTAATGATATTCTAGAAAGACAGTACAAAACTGTAAAATATACAGTAAGATACTTTGACATTACTATTTTTTGGAACAGTGTAGCTGTTTTCTCCATGTCTCTTAGGACTTGTCCAGCAGAATTAATGAATACCTGTTTTCACAGTTCTGCTTTGATGGCTGCTTTAGCAAAGTCGCTAAGTGCAGAACTACCTAAGAGTTCTTGGCCATAAAGATATTCAAGATCGCCAATGAGTTCCAGAAGCCCAACAGAGAGGTGGGTCATTCTTGTCCACCACACTTCATCATAAACATTAAATGTTATTTGTCTTTATTTCATGCCCAGTGTCTCATATTTTCTTTCCAGCTGACCATGCTGAAAAACATCAGCGGGCGTGACCCTCTGAGTATTGGTCGGTTCTTTGAGGACTTTCAACAAAAAGGCACACTTGTCTAGTATTGCTAGACATGAAAGGCTACACGCGGATTTAGACATATTAGAAAAGAAGATACCCCGCAATCCACTCTCCCTTCATGAGATTAAACCCATAACATAGCAGGTATCATCAGTCTACCACAAAGCACTGTCTGCTAATGTAGGGTGCAAATGTGCATGCTTGAACATATTTGAATAACACAGTCTAGTTTTTCCTTTGTCCGTGCGACTGTTTTCTGCGCTCAACTCTCTGAAGAATGCTGGCATCAAATATTAAACCCAGCAATATCATGCTGGTAAACCAGGAAGTCCAACCATTCACAGTTAAACTAAATTCTCAATAAGCCATAAAAGCTGCTGATGTGGAACAAAGCTACATCATACAGCCTGTTGGATGCCGGTTTGTTTCCAGATTTGTGTTCTAACTTCGGCTACGTTTGGTTCCTTGTGGATAATTTGATCTGATGTCAATAACTCTTATCAATATGCAAACATTTGCAGGAAATCATTCTAATCACTACTTCTTGTCTTCCACTCTCAGATCTCCTGAGGTTTTCATGTGGACTCGAGGTCTGCAATGCTGTCCTGAAATGCACAAATCAAAGGATATTTTCCTTTTCTCTCTGTGTTTTTGATTTTTTTTAAAGTCTTCTCAAATACATTCTCTACTTTTTAGATGTCTGAAGCGTACCGACTGGGACTGGATTCCCACTTCAGAGAGGCAAAGCGACTGAGTTCAAAAGTCTGTATGACCTGGTGGTGGTAGGTAGTCCTTGTACTGTGGATGTAAAATTGAATTTAACTCATCTGTAAGTCAGGAAGTGGGTGTTTTAAATATACATGAAATATGTCTCCAAATGCAGCTGTACCCAGATGTGGAAACATATGAGGACAAGATAAAGTTTGTCAGCCTGCTGGAGATGCTGCTGCATCTGAATCCTCAAAGGAGAACTACACCAAGTGATGCGCTGGCACACCCGTGTTTGAGCACCTGTAAATTGTGTGATGCCACCAGTTTTGAGTGAATGATTTTCTGTGTGTATTGCCTTTTGGTTTACACTTCTGCAGTGAGATTAAAGTTTCGTCATCCAGTGACATAATCTCAGGTACCCTTAGTGTCCCCACCACTGGTGAAATCGGCAGGAGAAGGCAAGACCAAAACAACTAAAGAATCAGCCTCAGATTGTGCCACAGTTTTGACTCACGCTGCTACAGATGATGCCACAGTTGGATCTGAAATGACTTGCAGAAACAACGCCGTCTCAGCTGCTCAAGAAGCCTCAGAGACCGCTGCCAGATTAACGGATGACTTTGCCTCTTCAGAGGAAGATTTGGGTGAGGCTCTAAGAGCAGCATGAAACGAGCCTGCACATTTGAACCACGCCCATGATGTGTGGCACTGCTTCAGCTGTCAGGAACGGTCTTCATGTTCTCAGCTTCAAAGGTTAACAATGAGTCACATGAAGTTGACAAAGGTGCAGTTGCCAACGGTTCCGCAGATTGAGCCTCACCTGAAGCAAATGATGCTTCACCCACACTGGGCGAAGTTATCTGTGACCCTGACAGAAATGCTCGGACTGAAAGCAGTTAAAAAATGTTTGGACAGGATGTTTAGATCTCCATACTGCTGTGGCGATAAGTCAACATAATCATTCAATGTTTTTCTCATATTCCCACAAATTAATACAAATATTAACTTACAGGCCTTGAGTTGTCTGACCTGGTAACTGAAAAAGTAGTCACATAGCAACAGCCTCAGCAGATGCAGTGACAGCAGTTGTAGCAGGAGGAGCACTTGTGTCAGCTTCACTATAACACCAATGCTGTAGTTTTAGTAGCTTTAAGTTTTGAAACTGAAAAAAAAAAATCATCAATAATCATTTGCCTTTAATATATTTCCTCAAAAAGTTTAATTACTTTACAAAATTATTTAAATTTAAATCAACTGCTGCAAGCTAATCTTTATCAGAAATGTAACTTATGTAAAAAAAATATTATTATTTATCTGCAGTTAAAAAATATAACAAATACAAATATCTCAACCCCCATGTATACATCTCTTTGGAACTAAAAAGAGACCATTTTTGTGCCTAATATCACAAAAAAAAATCTATAAAACAAATGGAATTGTGTGTTGTGGTAAGGTCATTAATCCACTTCAGCACCTAGAAATAAATATATTATGCATGCCTGTTTGTGATTAGTTACGGGTTGTTCAAAGTAAGTTGTTTAGGCTTGAATTTGTACAGGAATTCCTCTTCCAAACAGTAAGTCATGGTATAAATGCACTCTGTTTTTTCAGACAAAATTACAGTGGGAGTTGAGATAATGCCCCCTTGTTGGTGGCCTGTCCAGCACATATGCTCTGACATCTCTGACTCTCTGACTGTGCTTGATATTAAAGATGTATAGCATGGCGCACCCAATTTCAGTAACATAAATGATGTGAAAACTTTTTCCACCACTCTCCTTTGGTAACACACAAACACCAACCATTTGCAGGTCTACTGACTGCAAATAAAGTCTAATTCCTCTGTACTGAAAAAAAGACTTCACACACTGAATTTCGCGTACTTGTTCAGGATCTAATAGGGGAATGCATTCTTCCAGAATGTTAAATCTTCTTTGGTTACGTCTTTAAACACAGTGGCGTGGTTGTTAGCATTGTTGTTTCACAGATTCAAATCTAAGATTTGGTCAAGACATGCAGATAGTGGGGTTAGCTTATTTGGTAATTCTAAATTGCCCATAGGTGTGAATGCGAGTGTAAATGGTTGTCTGTGTGAGTTAACCCTGCAACAAACTAGCATTTCTTGCCCTGTAGCAGCAGAGATAAGGTCAGGCCTGACTAGTCCTGAAGAGGGTTTATGGAGTGGTCACATTCTTAACAAAAAGTCAAATTACCAAGAATAAACACTAAAAGACATTACTGGGTAAGTAAAGCAGTGTAGGGGGCAGCATGCAATCAAAGCTAAAGTGGTCCGCTTGCTCTTATTTGCTATTTGTGCGCTTTTCCGGACCAAAATAAACTGACCGCAAATGGATTCAGACCCATCACAAGTGTCACTGAGAGCCAAACATTTGCGTTTACAGCTGCATTACATGGCGCCATTATTATGGGTAGAACATTATCCCAAATCTCAGAGGGGCACTAACATTTGATTGCAGCAGACCATTAATGAGCACAAGGTCGCGCAGAGTCCAGGGTGAAATAGGGTCCTGTCGTAATTTTCACTTTATAAGAAGTCCTCTGACACCTGCTAATTGACCTACATGAGAGTCAAAAAAAAAAAGGGAAACCTTGTTTTTCTGGGTGGCTAGGTGGTTAATCAGCCTTGGCTGCAGATGTGTTATTTCTGATAGCATTGAAACTTTAGGATCTTTTCTTTTTTTTTTCAAACCTCAAGGCGGTCCCTCGACCAGCTGGCCCCTACCCACTGGCAAACACAATGCCTCCCCCTCCTTTTCCTTTTTCTCTCTCAGCTGCAAGCCGTGTGCTGCTACTGACCCTAATCCCAAACCGCTGCTGTCACTTCTGCTTAGCCAGCGCTCCTGATTACACTACAGGGGTGTGCCATAAAAACCCACTTTCCCCAGTTTCTTCAACCCAACACAAGGACCAGCTACTTCAGATGAAACGCGATATCAGAGATTTCAATAACATAGCTTTTTCTCTCTCTCTCTCTTTTGCTGCTGCTGTTGCCACTCCTTGTCCCTGCTCCCTTTCGTCCTGCTTTCGCTGGCAATTGTAACAGCTTCTCTGCAGGAACAAAGGCAGCATATGAATTTCAGGTGGTGTAGAATTGCTTTCTCTGTGGTTTTTTTTTTCTTTTAACCCTTTGACATTTCACACCTTTCTATGCCTGCCTCTTATAAGAAGCCATTTTGAAACGTTATATAAATTAAAAACTACACAGGCGTGAAGGATACTGTTGCTCGCCCTCGCTACCCTTAAATATTTGAAGAGTATGAGCATAACATCTGGAGAATTCAAAATTCTGTGAAAAACCTTCTATTGAGCTGAGTTACCTTGATCTTCACCTTGGCATATTTTGGTATTACACTTTCCATTTATGGGAGAAAAAGCAGAAAAATGCTATCTTTGAAAGGGTACTCAGTTTAAAAAAGAAACCCCAAACTCGGTTGATCAAAAACCGCCCAACCATTCTGAGTATCTTTTGAAATGTGTGCCTTATTCCTTAAAAAGGAGAATCTTCTTAGTTAAACATAATCAAGCGCTTGATGTTTCAATGGGATCAAACAGACGAGGTTCTGTGAAGTAAACACTTGACTGCTAGATTGAAAGCTAGTCCTCTGGTGGAGCTTGGTTCAGTGGTTTGACTTTTTTTCCCTCCTTAGTTTGTGTCTCGTGATTCATGGGAACACCACTTAAAGTCAGAAAACAATGAATGCTTATTTTATGGGAAGTACACTTTCAAGAGATACAGTAGCTTTTTGGACCTCAGGAAGTACAAAGGCTCGTGACAGGGGCAATTTGCTCTGTACAACTGTTGATCCTTTGACAGGGAGCACTTTTTTGGTACCCTTGTACATAACGGAGGCTGGTTTTGAACATCTGCTGACAGTTCTTTAATCTGAAACTCCGGGACAAATGGTGCACATGTGTACCTTCCCAGCCCTCAAAAACATACAGATAGTGACTTCAAGGTCTGATCATTATTCCTAGGTCAGGGGTCGGCAACCGGCGGCTCCGGAGCCGCATGCGGCTCTTTAGTCCTTTTAGTGCGGCTCCGCGTGGTTTGGGAAAAAAAAACATTGTTTTAAGTAATAAGCTGAAGTGTATTTTATTTGTGTTAGTTTTTTTTAACTTGTAGTTCTAAATTGGAAGATTATTGTGATATTGAAATATAAATAAAAAATTATATTCTATTATTTTTTGATCGCTCAAAATAAGCGTCACACTTGCGGAAGCTGGTATACCCGCCGAAACACCGTGGATTTATCGAGACTTTCAACCCCAGGTAGGCAAAGTCAACAACTATTCTCCACCGTGAACTATGTTAAAAACAAACACCGCTCGCGCCTCACAGATGACAGCTTACAGTCCTGCGTAAAGATGAAAGTGACTTCGTACAGCCCCGATCTGCAGACGCTGTGCGCAGAGGTTCAGGAGCAGAAGTCCCATTGTAAAAATATCTCTTTATTGACCACTTTTCACACACGGTTGCTGTACGCACACAGCCGGTGTTAAAGCTCACAGCCCAACACAGCCCAACACATACCAACACAACGGCATAGATAGCACAGACGTTAAGGCAGCGAGACGTGATTGCGGGTGGCGCTCAGGTGCGTCCGCCTCATGCCTTCCCCTCCAAACAGTCTCCGCCTGCAAGCACATCAGGCGGCACAATGCTATAATTCTTTGATTAACTCGCAACTTTTCTTTGGAGAGAACTCTGACAGTTCTCTCCTCAGTTTCAGTGCCTTGGTCTGCCATAGCTCCCTCCGCCCAGTCCCTGCATCCCATCGTCACAGTGATCTGTCATAGTTTAGTTATTGTTTTAGTCTCTCCTTCCTCAGACGTCTAGTTTATGTTCCGCACTAAATTTAGTTTGAGTTTTTAGTTTCCTTACCACTACAGACGTTGTGAATAAAGATTTTTTGTTACACCGCACTTCAAGCCTCCGGTTTTGAATCTGCGCTTGAGTCCATCCCATTTTCACAGGCCACTGTGCCATGACAGTAAAGTTTAAACTGCATCCACGACAGAAACAGCCACATTATGGCAATAACAGAACTTCAGCTATTTGAAAGCATCTGCACAGACAGCATGGTAAGAACCCAAACTGATGTTAAAGCTGATTGCATGACGACCCCAGTCAAGCAGCCAGAGCCTGATCTTCAACAGGTTACAAATACAGTGAGGATAAGCAGTCTGGCTTGCTGCCCCCGTTTCTATCTGTTCATTATCTCTTTGGAGTTTGGGCTCATTTTAAAGTTTTCTTTGTGTTGTCGGCTATGTGTTCGTATGTAAATGCAAAAGAAAGATCCTGTGTGAGTCCTGATTAGGTTCAGGATTTATGTTGCTCTAGCCTAAGGTTTAACTGGTAATTTGGTGACAATGCATTTCAGGTTATTTTACAGTATAAGAAGAAACTAATGCAAAGAGTAGTGCAACAAATTACTCTCTCAGGTGAGTAATTAATTATTAATTAATTACATTATTTTAATAAAATTAAAGAGTAATGTGTAATACATTACTTTGTGTAATGACCCCAACACTGGTCATAACCATCACCATAACCATCTGTTCCTAATGTCACTATATACGATAAAAAGATCATATAAAATGATTTGAGTGGTCACATTCACCTAACACGCGAGAGAGCTTCCATATAACACCAGGAGGAGACACTAATCCCTGCGAAGTTTGCATCAGCAACCTGTGCAAAATTGTGTATGCAGATCTATGCACTGTGGTGACCCGTTGCAAATAAAAGTGCTTCTTGAACAGAAACTTTATTTTGGTAGAAAATCCAGCAAGGACATCCCAGCATAGTTGAACAATATACATCCAGCAGACAGTCAAGCTGCATCTCAGACATACAGATTTCAGTTTGGAAGTTATGCTGCTGCTACAGGACTGAATAAAGCCCCAGAAAAGCCAGACTGTTGCAAATACCTGTGTAAATCCTACTTTAGTTGCTGATTTGTTATCTACTTTTTCACTGGTCTCTTTATTCCTCTGTCTCCGAGCTAACATTTGCTGCTTTGATAAACTGCAGAATAGTCTTTTGACTTCCGACCTTTGACGGTTTTCAGTTAGGTTGAGTGAGTCACTGCAGTTTAGTTATCTACTTTACATTCATGATAATTTAATAGTGGATTTATGCAAATTTCATACATGCACTTGCATATATAACAAAGCCATTTTCACTTGGTTTGCCACTGTTAAAGGCTTGTCTTAAGGACAATATTGAATTATTAAACTTAAGGAAATTAAAGTTAAATCATCTCCCAAACCTGGGAGGAATAACACAAACTTGTTCATTTTCAGGAGAAACAAATGAGCTCAAAAAACTTGCATGTGGAAACAGTTCAGCAGTGGCCAAGAGCTTATAGCTGTGACTTGGTCACTCTGAATGGAGAACACAACCTGTTCTGGAGCGCTGCCAGCTGGAAACTTGTCTAACCTATATCTGAATCCCTCTTTGCTCCATTGTGTCATTCTCATACTGCACATTAATGAGTCATTCTGTGTTACATAAAACAAACAGTAACACCAGTTGCTCTATTTTTGTTTCTCCTACCACGCACTTACCAAAAAGCACACAACTTTGATTCAAAATAGCAACACTCATGTATTTTATACTGAACTAGCTCTAAAATTATTGTTGTACTGAAATTTTATTTTCCTTTTTTAACAGTGGTGATGGGGGGGTGAGTTCATTGGCTGTTAAAGTCATCTGACATTTAATGAGCAAAAAGAGAGGACTGGCTTTTAATCCATTAAACTGTTGCATCAATACGCACATCCTAAACAATTTTGAATATCAGCATTTATTTTCTTTGGCTGGTTAGCACTACCCGAATCCTTTGGCCCACATTCAGTGTTATTAATGCTGGACACACAGCATCAAATCACAGTGAAGGCAGCCAAAGCAGGTTACAGGTTTTTCACAAGTCCTGCTGTGAGAATCCTGAGCTTGTGCGTCATCATAGCAGTAGTTCTGGATGGTAAGTCTGATAGCTCGCCAGCAGTTAGATCTGGAAGGATTTCTGCATTCCTGTTATAGAGTACTTTTTACTAAAACCGACATTCACTGATTCACACACACAAATTCATACAGCACTAAATTAAATAACATTTTGTCTTTAATTTTGTATTATGAAGCCTATCGTTACGTGTAATAGCTATTGAAAAAAATCAGCATTTTCAGCTTCCTAAAAAATTTTTTTTATCTCAGTGCTCTCACTAGCCTACCACCAGGCACTTGAAATCAGATTTTGTTGCACCAAATCAGATTTCTAAAGAAAATTGCACAAGCAAATCTGGAAGCAGTTTACCGTTTACAGCAAATTAGCAGTTAGCTCACTACGCTAATGGTGTAAACTATTTTCAGAAGTCAATACCGCAGCAGTTTTCTGGCAAGCACCGCTTCCGTTACTAGCCTTTTTATTATCTGATATGGCCGAAGTTAGGGGTGGTCATCTAGCTCAGTGTTTCCCAACCTTTTGGAGCCACAGCACATTTTTCACATTAGAAAAATCACACAGAACACCACCAAACAAAAATGCCACAAAAAGCATATTGATCATTTTTCCCTGCGCACCAGATATAGCGGAATTGGCTTGGTTTGTCCCCAGTACACCTTTATTGCTTTCTTCTGACCACTACTCATACTAGGGCCTTCATCTGGGTCGGAATTTTCTCCAGGACCCAGGTCAGACTGACTGCTTTTTCTTTTTAAATACTTACATATTGCTATTACGCACTGTGTTGTCTCGCTCGCAGCATGACTATTGTGTAATTTCTTCTTTGTCTTCTTCTGTTTTACTGGTAGTTAGCGACCCATTTAATTAGTGCAGGTAGTTGTACTGCCTTCTAGTAGAAGAGAATGTAGTTGTTCTGCCCGTTACTCATGCCGATCGCTTAGAGTACTAATCAGGTGGAACCAGATAATCTTCCACGGCACACCTGATCATTTTTCCCGGCACACCTATGTGCCACGGCACAGTCCTTCAGAAACACTGATCTAACCGCTAGCCGTTAGACACAGGTGCTAAAAACTTTTCAGAGGTACCGGTGGATATCTTTTTTTTAGCTGGCATGGCAAATACACAGACACCTTTGAAAATGCAATCACTGAAAGGAAAAACAACAAGGAGGGAAAGGAGAGAGCAACAGAAAATGGGACAAAGCAAGCAAGAGTTAGCCAGTGACAAGCATTTGTACGATAGAGACACGATCAAGATTTAAAGGGCTAAAATACAGAGTTACCTGGCATTATATCTACAGATCAGTAAGTAGCAAAACCTGCCTGACACTTGTACAGTTTAGTATTTTCTTATAAACTTAATATACTACCAAAATGTGTCATTGGCGCTAGACAGACATTCTTAAGATCTTGTCTTGCTTTGTACAGTAGTAATGTTGTAATGCTGTTAGCAT